ACCCTTCCCTTATGATCTGCATTTTAGTTTCCCAATACAGTAAAACCTTGGATTGCGAGAATAATTCGTTCCGGAAACGTGTTTGCAATCCAAATCACTCGTATATCAAAGCACTCGCATATCAGTTGTGATCACGTGACGCTCGGCAGACAAAGCGTATACGTACTACTCGTATTGTAAGACCCTCGCTCGTTTATCAAATTAATATTTATTTTAAAAAATTTGCTCGTCTTGTAAAACACTCGCAGACCAAGTTACTCGCAATCCAAGGTTTTACTGTATATGGATTTACGCAGAACTTCTTACCAGGTAAGGCAACTAGCACTCGATGGTCGTTTAGATGACAATGGAGGTAGTAAAATCACTTTATCACTGCAAAAATACAATAACATTTTACAAACATGAGGAACTCGAGCAATGGCGGGAGTTACTTACACCAGCACACCAGTGTGTTGAGAATAAACCCTCAACATTTACAATTTGAGTACAATGTTTCGCTGGTGATTACAACCAGCTTCATCAGGTGATTTCGCAGAATTGTGAAGAAGTCTTCCTGTTTCAGTCTTAAATAGAGTAAAGGTGATGTCATCACAAAATGAGCCTATCAGGTGCGAAGACCGGACAGTATATAAAAAACAATGGCAGATCTTTGCTTTTTGAGCCAAGCGCAGTGGCACATACACCTATAATTATCTAGTACTTTGGAGGTGACGGTTGGCGGATCATACCAATTCGTGAAACTCGAAAACCTGCTGGACTACGAGGTAATCAGGAGATGGTAGTATAGTGCAAGGATTCGTGAATAAATCTGTTTAGAGCTTTGAGTTATCCTCTCATCAGAGTGGGTTATCTCTGGGTACTCTTTCAACATGCAAAATGCTCGCACGTGGAATGAGGAAAACATGTCAAATCAGGACCCTTCAAAAAAAAGTCCTGACACTCGGTGAGGGATTTATATTGTTATTGTACCGTTATTATATATGCAACACACTAAAATGGTACATCTTCGTTTTAGGTGAAATTTCCATGACTTCCAGGGATCTGTGACAATTCAGAACAAGAGTAACATACACTACCACACAATAACATGGGGTACACACAGTATCATGCTGCTCTTAATAATGTAGAAGAAATGTCCCAAAGAAAGGTAGTGTCAGAATATTACAAACTAAAAAAAATATCTTGCACAATAATGATCTACTCTGTATGCGAGAGTGCACACAAATTGCATGTGGCATTTCCCCAGCGAACGTATCAAAGTGCCTTTAATGTGAAGCGAGTTTTGGTTTTATTGACTTCCTCTGCTGCTCATTAGCAAGACTGCTACATCATGCAGCTATTGTTCGATGCAGCCATTTGCATTGCTGCCCATCATGCCTCTCTATAGTGAGTATTTTTTAGTCACGATTGTTTTGCAGTACAATAAATGCTATGCTAAATCTATACTTAAAATAAGATTCCTGTGGATGTTGCGCTGAACTACAATTTTTCATCTTGACAAAAAATTACAATTCACTCAGCAGAGTGTGTGTCTTGCATAGCTGAATAACCATAATCGCCGATGTTCAACATAAAACTGTGCATTTTTTTTATAATTGCTTGTACAGTCAATGTAAAAAAACTCTGAAAACCGTGAACAAATGTCTTTTATAAGGGCTTCGTAATTTTTTAAGCTTACACATCCTTATTTTCTTCTCTCTCCATTGCTTTGGAAAGTTAGGAGTGCATGAATAGTCTACAGCCAGGCACAATATTGTATATCGGCCAATCCCTTATTTTGCTGACAAAGCAGCATTTAACACAGTTGTCTTTGAAGGCAATAACTAAAATAAGGTTTCATTTGAACTGTAGTAGAGTCCCTGTCCTCTGCTGAGTCAGGATTTTTTTTTATCGTTAGCTGAATGAAAATTGCTTACAGCCACCTACTCAACAAAAAGTATTGGATAACAGTAAAACATGCCCGGCATTACTGCTATACATCACTCACCAGTTATTGGCACACCAAAAAAGTGACACAGATGTTGGTTTAATACTTTCTCACGTCATCCTTACTGCATTAAAATGTATTTCACATCCCCAATAGCAATACAAATGGGATTCGTGGTCACATCCTACAGCAGGCCCCTACCTCCAACCTCTGATATGTTAAGGCATCTGAGTAGGGCAACAGTAAGACAGAGACTGTCATGATAGTTGTCTGAAGAACCCAGAAGAGTCTTTAGTCAATAGTTGGAATGTAAGAGAGTAGTAAGCCCATCGCATTATTTTGTCCTGGACCAGGTTTTGAGTATAAATGGATTCTCATCCAAATAAATATACTGTACGAGCATGTACATGTTGGGAACTTTTGTTATGAACAAAAAAGGCTACACATATAGTGAAACTATATAATGTGATGAAAATGAAGGTATCAATAACATTAACAGTTTGAGCTGTACCCTAGATGTGTATTCATGATGTGCTGGGCAGCATTAGCCTCATTCCCATGAGCATCACATTTTTTGTGGTCTAATTCTAGTCTGCACCAGGATTATACATTGGCTGTCAAGTCCCTGTAGAATTATAACTCATCCAGAGTCACTGACAGTGGTCGCTTCCTCTTCCAAAGCCAGCTGATTATACAATCAGCCATAGCTCTGCTTTCATACCCACGTGACTTTGCCAACCCCAAAAGGCCATGAGAGGTCAGGCAATTGTACAGCACCTTCATTTTACATGAGTGCCTCTGCATAAATCTAGTGATCATTTTCCCCAGCACATACAGTGAGGGAAAAAAGTATTTGATCCCCTGCTGATTTTGTACATTTGCCCAATGACAAAGAAATTATCAGTCTATAATTTTAATGGTAGGTTTATTTGAACAGTGAGAGACAGAATAACAACAAAATCCAGAAAAACGCATGTCAAAAATGTTATAAATTCATTTGCATTTTAATGAGGGAAATAAGTATTTGACCCCTCTGCAAAACATGACTTAGTACTTGGTGGCAAAACCCTTGTTGGCAATCACAGAGGTCAGACGTTTCTTGTAGTTGGCTACCAGGTTTGCACACATCTCAGGAGGGATTTTGTCCCACTCCTCTTTGCAGATCTTCTCCAAGTCATTAAGGTTTTGAGGCTGACGTTTGGCAACTCGAACTTTCAGGTCCCTCCACAGATTTTCTATGGGATTAAGGTCTGGAGACTGGCTAGGTCACTCCAGGACCTTAATGTGCTTCTTCTTCAGCCACTCCTTTGTTGCCTTGGCCGTGTGTTTTGGGTCATTGTCATGCTGGAATACCCATCCACGACCCATTTTCAATGCCCTGGCTGAGGGAAGGAGGTTCTCACCCAAGATTTGACGGTACATGGCCCCGTCCATCGTCCCTTTGATGCGGAGAAGTTGTCCTGTCCCCTTAGCAGAAAAACACCCCCAAAGCATGTTTCCACCTGCAATGATTCATCTTCTTTGGTTCTTTCGGTAAAGTCACGTAGAATGAGAATAAAATAATAAATTGATAAAATAAAATAACACAATAATATTCTCACGACGTTTCGGCCACAACACAAGCGGCCTTCATCAGGTGAAGGGAGCGAGACTGTCTGGTAGGACAGCGCACTCCAGCGCTGTGTTGTGGCCGAAACGTCGTGAGAATATTATTGTGTTATTTTATTTTATCAATTTATTATTTTATTCTCATTCTACGTGACTTTACCGAAAGAACCAAAGAACATGTTTCCACCTCCATGTTTGATGGTGGGGATGGTGTTCTTGGGGTCATAGGCACCATTCCTCCTCCTCCAAACATGGCGAGTTGAGTTGATGCCAAAGAGCTCTATTTTGGTCTCATCTGACCACAACACTTTCACCCAGTTGTTCTCTGAATCATTCAGATGTTCATTGGCAAACTTCAGACGGGCATGTATATGTGCTTTCTTGAGCAGGGGGACCTTGCGGGCGCTGCAGGATTTCAGTCCTTCACAGTAGTGTGTTACCAATTGTTTTCTTGGTGACTATGGTCCCAGATGCCTTGAGATCATTGACAAGATCCTCCTGTGTAGTTCTGGGCTGATTCCTCACCGTTCTCATGATCATTGCAACTCCACGAGGTGAGATCTTGCATGGAGCCCCAGGCCGAGGGAGATTGACAGTTATTTTGTATTTCTTCCATTTGCGAATAATCGCACCAACTGTTGTCACCTTCTCACCAAGCTGCTTGGCAATGGTCTTGTAGCCTATTCCAGCCTCGTGTAGGTCTACAATCTTGTCCCTGACATCCTTGGAGAGCTCTTTCGTCTTGGCCATGGTGGAGAGTTTGAAATCTGATTGATTGATTGCTTCTGTGGACAGGTGTCTTTATACAGGTAACAAGCTGAGATTAGGAGCACTCCCTTTAAGAGTGTGCTCCTAATCTCATCTCGTTACCCGTACAAAAGACACCTGGGAGCCAGAAATCTTTCTGATTGAGAGGGGGTCAAATATTTATTTCCCTCATTAAAATGCAAATCAATTTATAACATTTTTGACATGCGTTTTTTTGGATTTTGTTGTTATTCTGTCTCTCCCTGTTCAAATAAACCTACAATTAAAATTATAGACTGATCATTTCTTTGTCAGTGGGCAAAGGTACAAAATCAGCAGGGGATCAAATACTTTTTTCTCTCACTGTACACCATCAAAGGACATTACAATTCAGGTGTCATCATGAGGTTTCGGAGTGTATAATCTAACTTATATTCATCACTTTACAGAAATAGGGACAAGATTGGTCGAACTGTGGAAGCTTTTGGAAACTGCCAAGAATAGGAATAGGCTCAAGGTAGGTCCAAAAGCTGTGCAGCCAAGATTGGTCTTGTGAATCATATCCAAACCCATTCATTTTCTTATTTATTTTTGGACTCGCTTAGCAGTTAACTTTGTATTGATGCGACAGCTATCAGGTGTAGACCATAGCCAGAACAGAAGAAGGGTGAGGCGGACTGAGGCCGCTGGGCTGTGCCAGTGAGTGCTCAGTTGTCACCTGCAGCAGTGTGCCCGCGGAAGTGGCGTGTGCGCTTGCCCGTGCTCCACTCCCAGCACGCCAGCGTATTATCGAAGGACGCCGTCACCAGCTTGTGCTCGTCAAACTTGACATCAGCACACGTGTGCGTCTGGATGCCGTACACGCATTGCCCCGTCTTTACGTCCCACAGCTTGGCAGAGAGGTCGTCCGAGCCTGAAATGTAAATTCACAAAAAGAGAAACTAAACACAAAAAGCAAGAAATAATACCTTAACTTTCGGTATTTTGGAGGATGTTTACCCGGTTCTTTTAACATCTGCACTGTTTTAAAATGTTTTTTTCTTCACATATTGTCAATTTAGTCTGGGACATTTTTTGAAAGATAGTTGGAGAAGAGGATTTGCACACTGCTGGATTTGGCCAGCATTGATACCACAAAAATGGTAGAATATTTAAAAACTCCTTGGACAATCTCTTCATTTGTATGGTATTTTAAAGGTAACTGACAAAAAGTTTTAACGCTCCATGTGAAAAAGAGTGAAATATTTGTATTTTTGTTCAAAATACCTTCATGTGGTTAAATTATAGAAAATAACATAATTACTGAATGACTGCATTATTAAGTCAAGAAAACCAGTGGTAAACTTTAGAACAGGGGTTGGCAACAAAAATAATAACACGAGCCATTTATTTCGAATTCGGTTAACAATTAAATATTTAAAGAGCCACAATGCCTGTGAATACGAGACGGTCATTCATAAATAACATCAAAAACTCGTCCTTAAAGAGCCGCATGCGGCTTCCAGAGCCGTAGGTTGCCAACCCCTGCTCTAGAATAAATGTAGAAAATATGTAAAAGGGCACTGCATATTAAGCAAGTTTTGCAATCAGGAATGCACAGGGCTCTGATAAACGGTGCACAAATGCAGAAGCAACTGGCGGAGACCCAAGCCAGGCATTTATTGAATGTGCCTCGTGAATTTAGTGAACGTCATTCCCACAACCACAGCAGTACAATTCTTACTTAGAGCCCCATCGCTTTGACAGTGTGTGCTTCCAGTAGGCAACATACAAAAAAATTCTGTTCGACTAAAGTCACAAAATGCCACCTATAATTCTTGCGGGGTTAACAATGCACAGCAAACGAGACACATTTTATCTGTAATTTACAGTGTTTTCAGCATTGAAAGACAAAATTCCTCTTATATCATGTAATTTTATTATACACAGCTGAAGAATGAGAGACATGTGTTGGCAACAATCGAATCCAAAAACACCCTTTACACTCTCAAACCTTCTCTGTACTGAAATGTGGTTTCGGTTATTCTATATATCTACATACTATATTATTTATTGCAAGATTATAAATTATTTGAAGCCAAATAATGAGTCAAACAATTTATTTCTACTCATAATTTAATTTAAAACATCGTATAATTATATTTGTATTAAAATTAGAAAGTTATTTTAGTAATTACTTACAACTCTTTATTAAACAACTGCTGGATGAACATCTCTTCATACAATGGTCATTCAAAGTTATGACCATACCTCACCACACTGGTCAGTGGGGTTAAGAGGAGAAAGATAGGCCCATAATCGGTTCATTTGCATAAGCATACTTATCAACACTTGTCAGTGAGGGTGAGTGAAAAAGGCCCATGACTGGTTCAGCTATTACTCGCCACTGATGTTTTTAAGCACGAGGATTCAAACTCAGGTGGTTAAAGAAAAAAATATCCAGCTTTAAATCAGAATGTGAGGCAGAACTTCCCATATTTGTACCGCACCCGGTCTATTTAATCTCCCACACCTTTAAAAGACAAGAATATTGAATAAAAATATTAATGTAATTTTATGAAAAATCGCCAATGCTACTTTAAAGCAGAGGCTATAAAGTATTCTTAGCTGGTCCTATCTTACTGCTGCCTGTATACCTAGCCTCTGGGGAAAATAGGGCCACCTGTCTCCACCAATCCCCTCGGTACGTGAGGCCGCTTCTGCGTGCTTCAGGGACACGTTTATCTCATTGCAGCTCCTTGCCATCAAGTTTTTCCACATTACCTTTTGCCTTCTCCTCCCGCCAGAATTATTTCGTCTTCCACTCCATCACCAGCTTCAAAATACTGACACGGCCACACCCCTAATATTGGATTTAGCCAAGGCCCCTTGGTAAATAAACTGCACGTACCTATTCCCCCCACCTCCCGGTGATTTTGATAACTTGGAAATATTTGGGATTACGATTTTATTCAATAAGTCTCTTTTTGTTCTTGCTCACACCATCTCATAGTTTCTCAGCTCTTTATTCTCACATGTATTTTTTTGGTTCACATTACTGTACGTGTAACAGCATATGTTTTCAATGCAATTCATGAGCAAAATAATTACTTTATATCAACGCCGTATCATGAGAAAATAATATATTTATTGATGAATGAATACTGGACTCTGGTTAATAAGTGGTCACCGACACACTTCAGACACATACATTAAAACACAATTCCAGTGCCCAGCACTCGGGGAACTTAGCAAATGCATAACATCATTATCTTAGGCATAGGAGCTCCCCTTCCAGAGATCGAGTCTCAACCCTGTGACCTCCCCATGGCCTCAGTGACTATATAACCATCAGGCCTATTGCGGGAGAAGGGGGCGAAGGGGCTTGGGGGGGGGGTCACAAAAAGAGCAAGCTAACACTAACGAGTTACAAAAGGGGGTTCTGAAATGATCAAACTTTCTCAATCGAATATTGATTCATGTATTATTTAAAACATTCTAGAACATACCTCAACGAGGGCCAATGCCACGTAACTAACGGACCCAACCGTACCCCTCTTTTCTGAGGAAACACATTTCTTAAGGGATGGTAGTCGGGACGCGTAGCAAGTTGGTGACCAATTATGAAAACCAGATTTAAGGTAAGTACTAAAATCTAATGTATTCACAGTGGACACAGACATGTTCTGGAAATTCATATTAGAACCAATACCAAAGCCTAGTCGGAAGCAGAAAAATTACAATTCTTCCCAACCCAGTGGCTTTATTGGGTTATCGAAGCTCAGAGGGCCGCTTTCCCAAAGCTGCCTTCCTGGGACACAAAGGCGTAGTGGCTGGTAAAAGTGTGAGGTGAACTTCACACTGCCGCCCCACAGATATCCTTCAAAATGACTCCTACCCTACTGGCCCATGACACTGACATGGCCTCGTCTAATGCGATTTACACCAGCTTATAGGCTTCCAGGATACATTCCCGCACCCAGGAGGCGACTCTCTACCGTGACACCGCCTCTCCTCTCTTCTGTTGAGCGTATGAGACAAATAACTGTTCTACCCTCGTCCAGGCTTTGGATCTTTGCAAATCTATAGACCAGTACGCTTACCTGATGCAACCTTTGTCGCTTAGCTTTTGCCGTTGAATGAAAGAGGACAATTTCCGGGTTCACATGAAAATCAGAGAGCACCTTCAGCACGGAACTGGCCAATGCTCTCAACACGACCCTTCCCTTTCAAAAACGAAGGCCTTAATAAAAAATAGAGAATATAGTGCATAGCATATTATAAAATATCTATATAAGAAACATAGGACAATATTAAAGAAAATGTAACCAAAACTGAAAATTACACAAAAAGTTCAGAGAGATGCATGCTGGGGATTATAATGAACGGGGAACACATGGATCAGAGAACAAACACCAAGGAGAAGCATCACATCAACTGTTCAGAAAAGTAATGAGATTGGGCAGGACATCATGTCAAGTGAAAAGATGATGGCTGATCCAAGTGACTAGTGATGGAATGGCAGCCAAAAGAGGTAACATTCCCCAGTGAATTATAACTGTGGAGAAGGGAGTGATGAGATTAGCTGATGTGCAGGACCAAGATAGTTTAAAACATCACAGGGAGGCCTTGATTCAGCAATAGATTAATCACGACTGTTGCTGATGACGATGCCAATTTTAAGTCGAAAAAGGGTGTTTACTGGTGTAAAATTAAGCATCTGCTCACAGTATTGCTAATGCTGAGCGCATTACAATTTATCAAAAATGCAAGTATGTTTCAGAGTACTTCTATATTCTCTACCTATCACAAATTGACATGCATTATTTTAAATACAGCAGAATAAATTAATAATATTCGTTTGAAAGGCATCGGATGAAAATGGGCTTGCGCCCTTAAGATTGAGCCATGGTCTGTCAGGGTCAATAAAAGTTGATGAACAGTAATTGCCTGTCTTTTTGCAGATCAGCCGGAGCAGCAGATGAGCATCTCATGTTGTTTTTAGGCCCCAAGGCCATGTTACAAAACAGCAACAGACTTATCTATGTTTCCCATTTCAGATGAACATAGTAATAATGGCCTTTTTTGTTCAATTCCATTGCACAAACGTCAGCCCAAATTGTCTGGGTTACTCATTCTACCGTGCACGCAGAACCCATCTCACGGCTTGCCAATGGAACCATCTTCAATGTATAACGGAGATGGGTGGGCCTCATATTATACTTAATATCCATAGACAACCAAAATTCGAAAATACAGCACGACATTATTTGGTGGAGAATAATTAGTAAGGTTAGAGGCATTTAAATAACACTGGACTATGAAATCCACTACATTACATATGGTCTGAGCTTCAGACCAAGTTATTCTACAATTCATCGTTTGGGTCATCCAATCAAATTGTTGGTAAACTGTCAATGGCACTAAGTGATTTACAAGTAGGTATTCACGTCAAATTTATTTTTAAAAATATAGCGACTACAAACTGGCAGTGGCAGAGTGAAAATAGTCAGGCTGACCTCAGAGTGGAGGGTTTTTTTTAGTCTTTCACTCATGACGACAACGGTTTGCTTCATGAAGCACAGACGGATACTCAAGGAACCATTGACCTGTTCATTTTTTAGATCAATATTTATTCACAATTAATTTAATACGTGGTATATTACGAATGTTATTATGAAAAACAAAGTGTATATCCAACCGTGTGCACATGTATTTAATATTACAATCTCAAACAATGGGTGCCTCATTATAAAAATGACATATATCTTAATACAAAAAAAATCCACTGTTTAAAATGACTACATAAAAAAAAAATATTGCTCTAAAATTTACTTTAATAATCTCTCAGGCACTAAATCACACTGATTTTATATAACTAGTTATTTTTTAAAAAACATGCACGCACACATGCACACTCAAAGGTAAAGGTCA